TATATTATTATATATATATATATATATATATATATATATATATATATATATATATGTGTGTGTGTGTATATGCTGGAGGAAATATTTCGATTCACGCTTACGCGGAGTTAACGGTCAACGCGGTGAGGTATTGATCTCGTACGTCGCAAATGAAAATACAACGTGAAACTATAAATGGTAAATAGAAACGTAGATGGAATTGGCTGAGATAATTAGAATTGCGAATCACGCGTGATGCGATTGTGCGATGCGCAATCTCAATTGCGTCCGAAACGGATTAGAGGTCAACACGTTGGTTGATGGTAACATAAGTTAATAAGATAAAGCGAGAGGGAAAAACTGTAGAGATGAACGTTTCGTTGTGTTTTTTTTTTTTTTATTTTTCCAATTCGTGCGGACTGTAAGGTGGTGTAATAGTTACAGTCGTACGTATCTTGAAATGTCTGTTGTGTACAAAATTAAAGAAAAACGAGAAATACGTAGAGTGGGTTTCTTGTAATGAAAATTCCAGTGGCAAGCGCGGAGCAGCAGAGGTCAGAATCCCCTGCGAGTACGCAGAATCAGAAACTCGAGAATCCCGACACTACTAAGGAAATGAGTAAAGATGGGATCGGGCCCAAAGTGATGATCAAAGGGGGCGGGAAAGGGGGTTGGCTGAAGGCCCCATTATCGGAGGCCCAAGAGCCCCACGGTGAGTGAGAGTAGTTGATCAAAAGATGACCATTACCGATGAATCTGATCGAGTTTTGTAGGAATAGCTGCAAAATAGTCTTTGCTATTAATAATTACGTTTCTTTTTTTTCCATTCGTAATGCGTATATATTTAATTAAACAAAATTTATTTTTGTACATTCCTTTATCGAGTGAGATTCCATCATCGAAGAGCCAACTTGGACACAATTTTATTGGACACTATTTCTTTTATACTTGGATATTAACAGCTAGCTTTGAGTATAAATATTTTATCCAATATCTATTTATTCTACAACTTTATATTTAATTTTAGTTGAGAACATTGATTTTCAAAGAAATAATAATTTATAAACCAAATACTTATAGTGATATAATTATATATTGTAGTATATAAAAATCATATTTTGTTTTGCATTATTAATAATGATATTTCTGTATAACACAATTGATCGCAAAGTGCGGATGCGTTTAGTGAAGCCAGAGGCGTAGATTCGTCGATAAATGGCATACAAACTTGCATCTTTTGATTATCTCATTAATCTTATATAGAAGCCAGTGACGATACAAGGCTACTGATTTAGCGGCGGGATTTATCAAAATTCTTTGTAATCTTGGTGTGTGCCGTGAGTCAAGGCAAGTTTCACTGTAAGGCCAAAGAGACAATGAATTGGGCGTAACCGGACTCCTTCTATTAAGATAATTGACAAGGGGTTCGGCGACTTTTGTTACAAAAGTGTCCGTACAAGTTATTTGTTCACACACATTCACAATTATTTATACAAATATTTTATCCGTCTTTTTGTTCTCGGTCTTCTCTGTTCAATAATCTTAAATATTTCTGATCTTTTCTATCTATTGAATTAAATAGAGTCTATGCTTATTGATCCGACACGATACATCTCTTTTCGTCGTCATTCACTTATCATTTACACTCACATACACACACACACACACACATACAGAAAAGAAATCCCGCCGCAACGTATATGATGACACTTTAGTAATCTGAGGCTTCTCTAAATGACGTAATTTTCTATATCGATATTTAATCGCCTTTCCGTTGCAGATTATTATTTTTGCCTTGCGATTACTCTTCGTTTGTCTTTATGTTGCCCGCTCTTGCTGATGTTTCCTTTAATTTTTTTTTATTTAGTTCAGTATTTACTCGAGTTTTGATTGATTCTGCCATGTCCTCGCGTTTCATTTACTTCATTACTTTAACTCTGAGCGCGAAGTGTATCAAACGAATAGAAGATTAATTAAAGAGATAACACTAGCCGAGAGATCTCAATCTTGGATTAACCGATAACGCAGAATGTCGTGGAAATACGGGAAATCACTCGTTAGGAATTTTGTTGCGAATAAAGCAAGTAGAAAAAAATGATATGCGAAAAAAATGGTGATTATTTTATGAATGTTTAAGCATGGTTGCTTTCTGTTCATTTATATACGATACAATGCATCTCATTATTATTATTATTATTTCTTTTCTTCGAAACGAAGTTGATCTTTCTTTTTTTTGTAGATCGACAGCTGCCTTCTGAGTTTATATAGATTTAATAGCTTAATAAACGTAGTAATTTATGAAAATTTTAGAATTTTTCGCATAAAGTTAAATGTATTATTTTTTTCAATAGTTTATTATGCAGCTTTCTTAACTTTTTTTATCGTTGATAACATATTTTTTTTTTGTTAAGTCAAACTTTGTATTGATTTGTAAAAGATAATATTCTGTCTTACAGAGTACGCGACATAAATATATTAATTGGTTTCTTTTATGGTGTATAGGGGATGGATGAAAGCGTTCCGGGAGGAGTAACCGAATTAAGTTCTAAGCAACGTCACCAAATGAAACACAGAGAACTGTTCTTGTCGCGACAAGTGGAAACTATGCCTGCTACGCATATTAGGGGTAAATGCTGCGTGACGTTACTGAACGAAACCGAATCCTTGCTGAGCTACCTAAATAAGGAGGATTCATTTTTTTACTGCTTAGTATTTGACCCAACTCAGCGTACTTTACTCGCTGACAAAGGTGAGATATCAAGGTGCACTTTTCTATTAATAGACACATTTGAGAATTGTAAACAACACTGCATAGATATAAATAATCAATTAATGTAGTTGTACGCAATTGTGTTACAGGTGAAATTAGAGTAGGTAGTAGATATCAGGCAACGGATATACCGGCGGTATTGTCGACCGCAGAGAGGGAGGCGGATCCTCGCAGGTTACAAGATCTGGAAACCCTGGTGTGGACTCCGAGACACAATCTGACGGATCGTCAGATTGATCAATTCCTCGTTGTTAGCAGATCAGTAGGTACCTTTGCGAGAGCCCTAGACTGTTCGTCCTCCATCAAGCAGCCCTCTTTGCACATGTCCGCGGCTGCTGCATCCAGAGACATCACCCTGGTAAGAGATCCGAGGATAGATAAATAAATAGATTAATTTACTTCATTCAGAGCTGTGTATCGTTGTTTTTCATTGAATTTTGTGATTTGTGTTACAGTTCCATGCGATGGACACTTTGCATCTACACTCCTATGACTTAGCAAACGCCCTGGCGTCTCTAGTACCTAGCACCGGTCCCGTGCTATGCCGAGACGAAATGGAAGAATGGAGCGCATCCGAAGCGAATCTATTCGAAGAGGCGCTCGAAAAGTACGGGAAGGACTTTGCCGATATACGAGCGGACTTTGTAAGCACACAATTATACTCGTATAGATAAATAAGAATGCGATTGTGTTCCGACAAGTGTACTAATGTGTTTTGTTTGTCCTCTAGTTACCGTGGAAAACGCTGAAGAATGTGATCGAGTATTATTACATGTGGAAAACGACGGATCGGTATGTTCAGCAGAAAAGAGTGAAGGCCGTGGAGGCGGAGAGTAAGCTGAAGCAAGTTTACATACCAAATTATAACAAAAACCCTCCCTCGACCACTGCCCCTTCTACGGCCACAATTGTACCTCTGGGCAATAGTAACAGCAATAGTAATGGAAAGCCGACTAGCGTTTTAAATGGTAATAGTAACGGTAGCATGGCGGGTGACAATTCCGGAATACTTATGGTCGGTGTTGGTGGCAAACCGTGTGAGGGTTGTCAGGTTGTACAAAGCTCACAATGGTATGCGTGGGGACCGTCACAAATGCAATTCCGTCTGTGTCAGTCCTGTTGGACATATTGGAAGAAATACGGAGGACTGAAGGTGCGTATAAAATTTTGTTTTATATTTTAAGCTTTGTGAAATTACATTTGTCACACGTTTGGCCATACGTATGTAAATACATATTACAAATATATCTAATTTTTTTAATGTAAATACTTTGACATTTTATATTATTATGCGTGAATGCCATTTAAACTGTACAAATCTCAAAGTTTGCTCGGCTTTGAATTTATGTGGCGACAATTCATCAAAGTTAATGATAACAATACCATAGAAGTGTCAGTAACGATAAAAGTATGAATTTATATGTTTTACATCATTATTTTTGTATTAATAATTAGGTGCCGCGTCCGGATGATATCGACCTCGAAAGAAAACGTGCCGGTGCGGGATCGGACGAGGAAAGTAAGGGAATCAGCGGTGCACACAGGCCGCATCGGTGCAGCATTCCTACCTGCGGGAAGGAATTCAAACTGAAAGCTCATCTAAGCCGTCACTATGCAAGCGCGCATGGTGTCGATTTGCGTGGTGCCGCTGGAAGTGGCGGTGGAGGCGGTGGATCACCACGACCAGTTATGAAGACCCGATCCGCGTTCTATCTGCGCACTTCTTTGCTGGCGCGTTCCGCGCGACGATTGTGCGCTGCGCAGTTGCGTACGCGTCATGCTGCGCGGGCACCACATCAGCCGGTGAATGCCACGCCATTGCGACACCTATGTGCCCAGCTGGCATCTAAGACTCCTGCGGAACTGCGTATTTTAGCGCGTGCCGTAAGGCCACGACCACGTCCGCGAGTAGCCGACATCGCTTCACGCCTGGGCGATCATCCTGCACCGCGGCAGCCTGGCGACTGGGATTGGCTTACGCTGACCGCCCCAGCGCAACGCAAACAACCTGACAGAGTTTCGTTTCCACGTCCGCCGAAGGCACCTGGTACATAAATCACTTTATATTTAATAGGAATAATTGAACGACGTGTAAAAGATCGAGTAAAATATATGATATAATGATTTTTTATTGTTGGAAACTTATAAAATTATGAAAAGTATAATGACAGAGATGTATTCTCTTTACTTGTTGTGTATATAGTTTTATTAACTCATTGATTTCAATTATTTCAATTAACATTTGTTTTATACAAGATGTTACATACAAATATACACAAATCATGCAACGATTATTGATGTGAGACTGATAGAAAAATTTATTTTATCTATTTGTATTATTTCGTATTTTATCTGTATTATAAATCTTGTTTCTCGTGCATTGTTTACTTTATGTTTGTTATTTGGTTAAAGTATGTCTCGATAAATTATCCTCCTATCTTTCTAACACTTTCGCGGCCACTCACATATTTTTACGTTTATATTTTGATCAAGTCAGGAGCCGATCACGTAATTTTACGTTTACTGTTTTTTGCATCATTGTATTAAGTCGTATAATATGAAATGTCGAATTTTTCAGGAAAGAAGGACGTCTTTTTTAATTCAAACAAACATTCTATTCGTCAAATGCACTGGTGATATTGCAAAAATTACAATTATCTAAAAATTAAAAATACTAAGTGGTAATATGCTAAGAATTGTATAAGCTTCAAGATAACTTAAAAAAATTTACCTCAAACTAAACACGAGTGATGAATTTGCCTCTGCTCAGAAATCCGACATTTTACATGACCTAATAATATTTACGTGACGTTTGACGTGTAAGAATTGTCTGTAGTCGCTTTATACTAGTCACTACGCATGCGTATATATTGTTTACATCAGTTCAATATAACAGAGCGACTCCAAGCGTTGAGCAGAGCCGAATATGTAACGGTCGCGAAAGTGTTAAAAAAGTAAAGTCGATACTCGCATTCATTGCCGCTTTTCCGCAACGTCGATTGATTATCTCGATGTGCGTTACTGCTTACTATCGAGCGGTTGTTATTGCAAAAATTGCATTTTTTTTATTACTTTTGTGTTTTATAGAAAATATTCGAAGCGTCTTCGTAGAGTTATAATATATATTTCTTTGTAATTGTGTGTGTCTAGTTTTATATATTATATATGTTTGTATTATACATAATTTTATGGGATAAAATTTTAATATTACAGATGGCAGTCTTCTTTATGAAAGGGTACCGAATAAACCTGAAGTGGACAGACTCCCGTTGACGCCACCACAGCCACAACCCGTCATGCCAACCCAGCAAAATATCCTGAAACGCACAAGACCATTTGATGAAATCAATGGTTCAGATGGTAAGTTTCGGAATCTGATTATATATATATATACATTAACGATTAGGCCGTACAATTCCGAGTCGTAGTGAAACAAATTTTATTTTTGTTTATCGGTTTCTACTCGGATATGGATTGGGAATTGAAGTTTAGTCAATGCATATGACGATGATGATTATCATGAAAGTTGCGTAAGATATACACATACTTCTCGAGAGTGTGGAGCTAATATGACAATTTTTTAGGATGCAATCGATGGATAATCATAAATGCTGTAATTCAACTTTGTTTATTCGTACTGTGGAAATGTGGTTCTCGATCCTTCATTCCGTCCGTATTACAGTTGTAAATTAAGCGTATCGTACAAAGCGCATAATGTCATTCATGTTTTATTACAGTAGAAAAACAATTTTATACAGGCTTAAACAATTCGTAAATCTTTTATCAACGAGTAATGATAGCAACGACCAATGCTCTGAGATGAAATGGTAAAACAAACTCTCATCTTCGCTTATGCTAAATTATTAACATAAGTAATAAAGAAATAGAAAGACATTTTATATTCATCCCAATAAGCGTCTTACGTCGCGTCTGTACAGGTATCTACCAAAGTAAACGGTTTGTCTTTATCTGAAGTCACTGGCTGTACTAGCGGCGATTATTATATGTTTTTTTAATCATCTGTCAGCACACAAAATAGTTAAAAACTATAACGTTAATAGACCATTAACGTCAATAATTATTAACACACCACGGAGACATCTCGCAAATTTTTATACGATTACGCCTAAGCTTACAATAAGAAAATTCTTCAGATCTAACTTTTGTTTTTTCCATTTTTAGGAATCGCCCTGAGTTCAGGACTTCCTTCAGGTCCACCTCCCGCGAAGAGGAGTCATCACCCGCAGCAACTGCACCCGAAGCATACGCTGGAGCATCCCGCGCCCGCTGTTCTTCCTCTTGCGCCACCTCTCAATGGCAGAGCCACTCATCCACATACACTGCCTCACGGGCCGCCCTTGTCTAGAAGTAATGCGCGTAAACAAGTTATCTCGTGGATGGATGCACCTGATGACGTCTACTTCCGCGCCACCGAACAGATCAAGTTAGTATAAGAATCAAATGGAAACTGTTAAAATCATGTAGGCACCAATTATAGGTGGTGATGCGTAGATAATCAATTTATATGTAAATCCATAGAAATTACGTGATTTCCAACTTGATTACAAAATTCATTAATTGATCAAGTTCCGGCTTAACCACTCGCTGATATTTGTTTTCTCCCTCTTCCTTTCTTTATTTCCTTAATTTAATTTATATACATTATATACATTCTCCGGATTCTCTGTTATGATATCAATGTAATTAACTTTTCGTACACTAATTTAATTATTTTACTGGAATTTGAAGCATTTTTGTAATCACAAATGTATGATAACCCATGTGTTTGATATACCGTATTAATTTTTTTATTTATTGAATTGCAGAAGAGTCAGAAGAACTCTGGCTTTAGTGGAACTGCGAAGAGCGGCGCGCAAACCGTGGCGTAGATTGTCGATCCCTTTGCATCCGCCTTATCTTCAAAGAACGGTGCGCAGCGATCGCAGTGATCGCAGCGATGATACAGTTGTCATTTTGGACTGAATCCGTAATACAGTCGGATGAATTGATATTACATGTTGGTTTGCTGCACGCGAGAAAACGCTGTTATCGTAATCTTTAACGAGTGAAGCTATCCAAAATGAGGATCACAGTTTTGTGTATTATCATCGGCAGCTCCGACCGATCGAGCAAGGATCACTAGAACAAGATCCCAACGTGACGCTCCGTGACGGTATTTTTTTCTTTTTTCGAGCAAGTTGCCGTAATCGAAAAAAGAGGCCTCGCTTGACCGAACATGCATGTTAATAACAGCAACAACGGAAGACATCGTCAAATTGTAACTATTACTTAATAGAGTAGCAGTTTGACAATGTTTTCAGTTGTACTTACTGGAGAATTAATGTTCAGTGAACTAAGTCATTCAACGTGAAACATGATTTTCTATTCGTATTAATTAATTATTGTTGTTATTAATAATTATTATTAATAATTAAATGTACATATACATCCTACTATACACATTCATACCACACATAGCCAGACAACATGACACACAGGACACACCCAGGTGCCGATAGGCGTTCGGTACGAATGTAACGGTGGAAAAAAATTGGCCCATAAGCTCACGAATGTCTGTATTGAGAAAATACAACGATTGCGTAATCATTGACTATTAAGAAGAACGAGTGTATATTTCTAGATGTACACTAATACATTAACTGCATTTTTCGATAACCATCACTTACAATTGTTGTAATTTCTAAATGCGACCAATGTTAGGGCCACGCAAGCAACAGATACGAATGTATGAGCAGAAGTGAATGCATGAGAGAAAGATAGAGTGAGAGAACGAGAGAGTGAGAGAGAATAAGTATAAGAGAACACGAGAGAGTGTGAATTCGTACGTGCGGGAGACAGAAAGAAAGAATGCTCACTGTGAATATTTTTATTAAATTTTCAAGTTTGATGACTTCCGTCGCAACAATTAATAAATAAATATAAGCATAAGTGAAAAGAAACATTCAATCATTTCTCTACTTTTATTAATCCTCACTTCAGAAAGTTGAATTATATCCAATATAACAATGTACAATAGCAATATTTATATGAATTATATTGCGTACAATTGTCAAATATGAAACATTTATTTTTATATCTCGTACTTCAATATTATAATATTAGTTTCAATATTTATTTTCAAGAAATTACATATTTAATGTCATTTAATAAATTATTGCAATTTAATTTTATTATTTATTCCTTTTTTAGAAATTACGAAACGTGAATAACAATCACTGAATATTGCTCAGGTTAGGTATATAAAATGCAGCGCTATTTTTTCCTGAAATATTTTCTGTATTGCTGTTATTAAAGATTATAATTAGAATATGCAAAAATGTAATTAAAACACTGTATTATTTTTTGCTGAAGATTTTAGACTAAGTAGATCCTACAAATTTGATATAAAATCACAATCGGTAAATAATTTTTGCGGTAAAAGCACTGTTTTAGCGTCACCTATGTGAAGTGGTGTTGCAGACGTTGGAACGTGCTGCTATCTGTCGATTGTTACTCGAAGGACTTTACGTTGCTATGGTAACGGCAAATTGTTAGTAGTTGTTAAACCGATTCGAATTGCGGTTTAATAATCGCGTCGCAAACATTTGCAGCCGGTTAAACACGGATGCACGCGGATTTCTTTTCGTTTCAGTGATCGAATCGCGTGTTATTATCGGACTGAACAACGTCGTAATGATGAATCGCGCGGGTGGAAGAAAATTCGACGACAGCACGAAGGCGAGCATGAAAGATGAGAACGCAAAATCCGTTAGCGCGTCATTAACCGTTACAAGATTCGAGAAGATTCTGCGGCAGGTCCAGCGTGAATTATGCTTGATCAAATTATGCTGGACGGACATTCCTCGCATGACGGAGGACCTTTACTTGCGATCACTTCCGGATACTTATAAATGCGTCAGCAATAAAGAAAGATTATTGCTATGGTACGCGGAAAATTTTCGTCGGCAGTTTCATGTGAAATATGCAAGTCGCCGGCCATTGTTAATGGCGTGCGAGAACGAATGTGATATACAAGTAGGTGACAAAATTTAACTCAAAATAATTAAACTTACCTCTCTGGGGAAAGAGATTGTCTAATAAATCAGCGACATAAACTATACATGCTTATAATAACCTAATCTAACCTAACCTAACTCGCAACCAATTCATAATCTAATTAAAATCTAATTAAAATAATCATATATCATGGACTTTAATCATAATCTTATTGAAATCTTTATCTTTAATCTTCATCTAATTACGTATAGTAATTACTCATTTTATATATTATCATAATAGCCTGATTATGCCACTATTAGCTAAAAAGGAAGAAAGAATAATATGATAATAAAACAATAGTTGATAATTAATAATCATATTATAAAAATATTTTACTCACCTTTCTGAATTCTTGAATATATATGGAAACAATCGATTAGAAGTATCGAAAAAGCATTAGAGTTGTAAAAACTGGCTAAATCACAATATTATATATTTGATAATGAGAGAATAGTTAAAAAAAAATGCATTGCTATTAGAAAATTCTTGTTTCTTTTTGGTATTGTCACATATTTCTCAATAGAATTGCAGAGAAATTGATAGTCACTCTAATCATACTTATATATAAATAAGCTTACTTGTAACTTAGAAGTTTGTATCTAAAGCATGTAAAGTTTTTGAATAGATAGACTATCTAGAAAATTCTTACTAAAAGAGTAATATTTAACTTATAGATATTTTGCTCGTTAATTTTTATTAAAGATAATATATATAATATTTAATTTTCTAATAATGCGCTTTATTTATAAAGGTTTATAAAGGATAGGATTAAAAGATTGAAAAAAATAAACAAATTCAGTTTTTAATATTTTTATTTTTTTTTATTTTTGTTTCCAGAAAAAAAACTTACTTCAGATATTTCACACATTTCTTCAATCATCACCATTTTATCATTCTTATTAATACTTTTGGTTTAGAGTATAAAGATCTTTTCTCCTCATTACAAAAATCAATATACATCACAAATAAGGTAGTAACCGACGATTGAATCAATTGTTACAATTTTAAGAATTTGTGAGATTGTAAAAGTAATGAGGAATGTCGTTATTATGTTGAATCTATAATATTAAATTTTCTAATTTTCTTAGATTACCACACACTTTCCAAAAAATTATAGAAGCGCTATATGAGCAATTATATGAGACTGGATTTTAATAAAGATAAACAGGTGTATAATAAAGCAAATATTGAAAGTATAAATTCTCTAGATTTTTATTTTTCGAAATTATTTAGTTATTTCTTTAAATTTTATTTGGATAAAAAATAAATGATATAAGTAGCGCATCACATAATTAAAAAGTTTGTGTGTGGTTTATTTTATTTTACTCGGTTTTATGTTCTACATAAGAAAAATAAATTCTGTTATATATACTTATATATTATAATATATTACAGTTTCCCCTGCACAATAATGCATCTAAGTGCTATAGTTGCATTTCTAGTGAAGGCGCAGTCTTTATTTACAACCACAGCATTGGTTGTCTTTGGTTAATACTTTTTCTGACTTAAGTTTCATATTATTCTATGTACAATATTTCGTAAATATATAACTAGATAAATACTTGGCGAGTGTGATGTGTCATACCTTTTATTAAATATTTGCCAGGATATTTAATTTCCAATCAATTCTATTTAATATGGAAATGGATCTATATTGTAATGTTTGCTCCACTAAGTCAATAAAATTTCGGAACGTGTCCATAAAGAAAAAAATTGTATCTCAATAAGAAGCACATCTCTAAATATGTACATGAATTCAATGAATATATCGAATACTCAAAATATTTTAACACAAGTCTATTTTGTTCTGTGCAGAAATTCGTATCTACCAGTATCAGAAGAAGTACGCTGCCATATCCACAGCTGCACAAGTGGCATGGATGCGCAAAGTTTATCAGTGATTACATCGATTATCAACCACCGGATGAAGTGTTCAATATGGTAAGTGACAATGTTCTTATAAAGAAAGATTTAAAATAATCATAAAAATGATGTGATAAAAATGATACATATATACATATATATATATAAATGAAATTTTAACTTTATGGAGATCTAATTCCACGATATTATTTTTTACAGTTATTTTAAATCCACTAAATTAATTAATTGATAAATAATGAATGATTCTACAGCAAAGAATGTTAACAGGAAAAACAGCAATGAGAACCAAAGTGGTCATTATAGCGCAAAAAAACTACAAGTTTATTTTTTTTATGTACAGCATAAAACTACCGAATTAAATACAATAAACCACACACAAACTTTAATTTTGTGATGTGCTATTTATATCATTTATTTTTTATCCAAACAAAATTTAAAGGAATAACTAATGAAAATTTATTGTATTCTACTTTGTATTTTTTTTTATTTTTAATTTTAAAATTTTTTTTATTTTTAATTTTAAAATTTTTTTTATTTTTAATTTTAAATTTTTTTTATTTTTAATTTTAAAATTTTTTTATTTTTAATTTTTAATTTTTTTAATTTTTAATTTAAAAAATTTTTTTTTAATTTTTTTTTCTAATAAATAACTTAGTTTTTTACGCTCCAACATCCGCTTTGGCTCTTATTGTTTTTTTTCCTGTTAACATTTTCCTTGCTGTTATAGAATCATTCATTATTTATCAATTATTATTAATTATTGGCGGATTTAAAATAGTGAAAAAAAATAATATCGATGACTTAGGTCTCTATAAAGTTAAAATTTTATTTAGCAGATTTAAAAATTAATAAATACATATATATAATGCAACATAAGTACAATATACTACAACATAAATACAATATAATACAACAAAAATACAATATGTGTAATCATATGATAACATTTTAAAAATAAATAATTAACTCAGTAATTCTGTTTGTTTCAACAAAAGTTTATATCGATATGAATGCATATCGTATGGATATTAACATCATTGTTAATTATTTTTTATGCGTGTTTGCGTGTGTCTGTGTGTGTGCGTGAGTGTGTTATTTATCTATAAAAAATGACTATTTCTGATTAAAAATTACATATTTACATATACACATGTCATATACACTTTGCACATACTTAATTTCCTAATAATATACATATTTACATAATAATATATACGTATTCAACTACGGATACGACAGAGTATTTTATCTAATCGTAGATATGAATTTCTGCACAAAATAAAACTTACTAAGTATTTAGAATATTATTCATATTCATTGCGCTTTTTATTGGAACAATAATTTCTTGATGCAAACATGTTTCATTAACACTAAAATCTCGTTGACTCTCATCCCACAGTGAAACAAACATTAAAATATAGATCCATATTTATCAATAATTCAGTACTTCTTTGAAGATAAATATCAATGATATTCGTTTGAAAATAATCGATGAAAATTGATCATAGTAGCAAATATCTTGATTGAAAAATATATCTTCTACTTATTTGGCTTTTTATAATCTTAACTATTTTTTTTGTTCTTTGACGCGGACACATCACTTGGTACAGTTGCCATGCATTTATCGAATTATATATAATTTATAAAATCATGAATTAACCTTTTGACTGCAATCCGTTAAACGCTCGATAAAAGTCATCTGCGTACTATTAGCGGCTTTAGATGCTTGATAAAATCGTTTGAAAATTTTTAAAATTATTCAGTGATTCAACATTTTTTTTAATGTACAAACAATGTACAATAAATTGTTTTAGCTCGCCTGTACACAGCGTCGTGCACCTTACTTCTGAGCGTTCCTTAGTCAAAGGTTAACAATACGTGCGTTAACAATACGCGCGCGTGAATTATAAGAAATATAAATATAAAATGATAAGAATACAAAATGTTTGATAATACAAAAGAATTAATTTTTTAAATGAGTGATTAACTTAATAATACCATTGATTTTGACACAAATTTATGCCAATATGAATTTAGGGATATTAATATCAATGTTAATCACGTCATGCTTTTGGTGTCTATATTGTATCTATGATAATCTAAACGAATATATCTAAAAGAAACCAAAATTAAAAAAAAAAAAAAA